GGAGTCATGGAGGTTCCCCAAGGAAGTACTGTTGAAGCTAAAATCCAAAGGATGGGTAGGTGTTAGTTGTGGTAACAGAAGACTGGGGAGGGAGGAGGAAGTGGGGGGAGTGGTGGAAGGAATGTTCCAGTGACATAGTTAAAAGCAAAATATACAAATATTAAGAAAAGAAATAGCCTTTCCTTATTATAAGCATAAGATATTGAGAACTGATTGGGGCCGGCCCCATAGCTTAGCGGTTAAGTGCACACGCTCTGCTACTGGCGGCCCGGGTTCGGATCCCGGGTGCACACGACGTGCCGCTTCTCCGGCCATGCTGAGGCCGCGTCCCACATACAGCAACTAGAAGGATGTGCACCTATGACATACAACTATCTAGTGGGGCTTTGGGGAGGAAAAAAAGGAGGAGGATTGGCAATAGATGTTAGCTCAGAGCTGGTCTTCCTCAGCAAGAAGAGGAGGATTAGCATGGATGTTAGCTCAGGGCTGATCATCCTCACAAAAAAAAAAAAAAAAAAAATAGAGAGAACAGATATATTTGTTGAATATATTTTGTTAGTGGCCTGTGTTGCCAAAGAAAAAAATTCATAAAGTTCTCATTACCCTTTGCTGATAACTAAGTTCAGGTGGCTCCTCCTTCCATAGGTGCTGTTGCTACTAAAAGAATAAAGAAGAAGCATCTTGGATGAGAGAGTCTAGATATTAGGAAACCAGTGCTATCTTGACTTTTGCTTATGACCTTGACCAAATGACTTACACCTGTACCTCTGCTTTGTCATTTGTAAAAGGGAGATGATAATATTATTCAGTTTCACTTACAGGGTAGGATCAAATGAGATAGTGATGCAAAAGTATAAATACCACATTGTGCATAATGATCTTTTGTTATAGGCATTTCAAGCATATTAAACAGTTTCTCAATTTCTGACAGTTCTCTATATATCAGTAGCAACTCAAATTCATTTTTCTTATGATTTCTAGTTGTAGCAACAGGGGCTGCATTTCCAATTCCATGACAAGTAGAGAGCCCTCTTCATCACCCTTTAAGAGGAACAGAATTGGATCATGTCTCTTTCAAAAGACCCAATTGTTCAAAGCAAAAAAAAGCAGAAAAGTAGAAAAACTAGAAAATCCAGTTATTTTGTAATCATCAAAAAACAGGATACATTTCTGCTGTGATCAAGTCTCTCAATTCCTTTATTTTTTATGGCGAAACTAATCTGATCAGTCCTTTCTTACTTTTCTATTTAAACTTGCTATCTGATTTACCAGTGGTGGATTTGTTGACAAATATAGCAATATAAATGCAAAGAAATTTGTAATGAAATATAATCTCTAAATACTTAATAAATAAGAACTTAAATGTAAAAAAAAAAAAAACCAACAACTTCTAGCTTCACATTGTCTTCTTATGTAATAAGGCAGACTCATGAAATAAAACATCATTAGTTATGGGTTTACTTTGCCAAAAACTTTTATTCATCTCTGAAAACATTTTAGCTACAGTTAAGTATATAGATATCAAATATCTCTATCACAAATATTAATTTTTTTCTATATGTTTTTACACCCATAAATAGGAATAATATCAACTCCTTTTCAGAGTAAAGAGAAAAGAACATTCCAAAATATTTTACAAATATTGAGAACTGTACAAGTACTACTTTACAGAGATGAAGAGTGAGTTATTAGTTCTGAATGTCACTTCTCTTTTTGTTTATAGTCTTTTTCTTTTTGCTTTGGTAAACAATTGGATTTCAAAATACAGGAGCTCTATTAAAGGTGTCCAATTTCCAAGTCCTGTTTGGGTCTTTTTAAAAATTTTCTATTACAAATTTCTTTTTTTTAATTTTTATTTATTTATGTTTTTCCCCCAAAGCCCCAGTAGATAGTTGTATGTCATAGTTGCACAGCCTTCTAGTTGCTGTATGTGGGACGCGGCCTCAGCATGGCCGGAGAAGCGGTGCATTGGTGCGCGCCCGGGAACCGAACCCGGGCCGCCAGCAGCGGAGCGCGCGCACTCAACCACTAAGCCACGGGCCGGCCCTCTATTACAAATTTCAAGCACCTTAAAGGAAGTTTGAAAATTTTATTGTATTAATTATTTTTGTATTGTTGGGGAGAAAATTTTAAAAGCCATTTAAAAGGAGAAAATAGTTCATGGATAACTGGTTTCTTTAGAGATGGGAAAGAGCTCTTAACGAAATGCATATTTAGGAATCTCATTTAGTTGATGGCCAATTTAATTCTAATCTCTGTTAGTACATGTTTGAAGGAAATAGAGTTCATGGAATTATGCAGTCGGAAGATTAGTGAGCACTTCTTCCCGCCTTTGGTGCAGTGCAATGGCCTCTGCAAGAGAAATCAGTAATGTGGGGTTCCAGCCTCAACTCTGCCACCCACTCTCCATGTCACTTAAACCACTTAAGAAAGCTACTTAGCCTCTGAACATCAGTTTCTCATTTGTAAAGTGGAGATAATGATGCCTTTCTTGTAACCTTGTTATTAGGAATAAGTGACATAACATATGAAAAGGCCTGGTAAACCAGAAACTACTCTCCAAAAATAAATTACAAAATTTATCACGAGCTCAAAGGTTCCCATAAGAGATTCTACAAAAATAGCTTAATATGTATTTTGTGGTCTTATTATTGTTTCCTTTTCACATGTATATGTGCTAAATCCTTCATTAGGGTATAAGCTCCTAAAGCCACAGTGAGCACACCATGTCCTCTTTCCCTGTTGCTCTCTGGATTACACGTAACTAATGGACACTCAAAAGGCTTTGTTGACAGATAGTCTCTCCTTCCCCAGTTCCAATGTCAAGCAAATAGTCACGACTGTCAAAGAGTCTCCTTTCACCTATTCTATATCTAAACCTCCCTGCTGTAACACATGCCTATTTCCACATATTCTCTTCTCTAAGCTCATGGAGAATTGGCAGGTCAGCATCCACTTAACAAAAGCCTTTAGCACTGTTACCAAACTCTCTTTAGCTGCGAGACAGAATCCTTGGTTCTCAATCTAAATCTGTCCCTCTTGCAATCCAAAACAAGCAGAATTAACGACATTCTTAGCCCCAGAAAGAAAGAAAGGAGGATTACCTGCTGGCTCACTAAAGATTCCTAGAGCCAAGGAGTTCCGGAGGAAAGCCCATCCCTGTCTGGGCAACTGAGAGGAATGAAGTACATCAACATAAAATGGCTAGAGGAAATATGGACAGAGATGAAAAGAAAGACAGGGGTGAAGATATCAGACTCAAAAGAAAGTGAAAGTAGAGTGTTCCCAGGGCACTGATATTCCCTTAGAAGACTGATGAGATGCTCTGGTCTACCCTGATGCTCCAACGAAAGTCTTTATTTAATAGGTAAGTTGGCATTAGCTTTTAATAAAACACTTTTAAAAGTGAAGGGATGCTGAGAAAGGAATGGCTACCTCTCAGTCTCCCTTCTTGGATCCTATAAATGTGCCTCCCTGATCTGTGCTCTGCTCAAAGTAGTTCTAATATTCTTTTCATGAGGTTTTAATAAGCAGGCCCCATTCGACGCACCTTTTAGGTTTAAGAGAGGAATATTTTTAGTTTAATCCACCTCGCCCAGTCTTTACTGCTATGATGTGGCATTCATTTAACAGCCCTAGGAAGGCTCGCTCAATCCTCAGGCTCAGAGTAAACACGTGTGCTCGCAGCCAGCTCCGGCGCGCCCTGTGTTTCAGCACCGCCGCCTCTGGATAGCGCCTTGCTGGCCGGCGGGTCAGGGCCTCTCATCCGTTCCATCTCGCATCCATCCCCAGCCCACTCGCTCTCCTCTACTCCATGTTTCCCTCATTAACAGAAAAAAAAAAAAAAAAACACCCCCAACTTCTAACCTCTCCTCAATTTCCTGCCTCTAAAGTGACCGTGTCCCTCCCTCAGGGTCTAAACGCGCACACCCCCGCGCCTTTGGGTCTTGCAGGAGCAGCAACTAAGCCGCGTCATTTACCCGCCGGTGGCCCAAGATCTCCAAGAGGCATCGATCACCTTTCCCTTGCCCCTGCTGAATCCCAAACCAGCAGCCAGGAGCCCCCACTCGCTCCCTTTCTTTCCACGCCCCAAAGCCTCCGAGAAACAACTGGCGATGATGCGCCCTCCACCGCCCCCCGAACACACACACACACACACACACACGCTCGCACGCACGCACATACTCATACACACACTCGCACGCCGCAAGCTTTCCGGGTGCCATTGCCGCTCTGGGCAAAGCCTCAGCCAACTTAGGCCCCCATCCATCAACACCGGCTCGCAAAGGGCAGCCCGCAGCGGCTGCCCCGCCCCCTCCCCTTCCTAAGCAGCGGGTCCTGGCAGCCAAGCCCAGGTTGGCCAGGCCCCCCAATCCCATTCACTCAGCCATCCACCTCGCGCAGGCAACACACGGTCCACAACGCTCAAACATTCGCCCCTGTGCCGCCCCGAACCATAGCCAAACCCTAAATTAATCTCCTTGAAGCTCCAGCCCTATTACTGGTGTGTTGTGTGTGAGTGTTTGTCTCTCTGAGGCATATACATCATTTAACTCCTTCGAGCTTTCCGCCCATCCTAAACAAACAGCACGTTATCTCCAGCCCCCTCCTCTCTTCTCCGCGCCCCAACCTCTGCCCCCATCCCGATCTTCACCAGCCAAGTAGCCAAACCACCGGACCGCCGCAACCCACTTCTCGAACCTCGACCTCCCACCCAGCCCATACCAACACTCATTTCCAGCCCTTCCCCTCCCCTCCCCTCCCCCACCCCTTGGCCCCCTGCGAGCCGGGTCAGGCCCGAGCAAGTGACGCCTCGGAAGCGCAGTCTTCGTCCCCTCCGGCGAGCCAGGAATAGAGGGGTTGACCTCCCAGCAGAGGGATCAGCCGGCGTACCCCCCCGACGGGACACAAGCCTTACTGTTCGGTCGCCCAGGAAAACACAGGTGCCGGGGAAAGAAGAGAGGCGGAAGCCGCCTCCGGGGGTGGGCGGGAGGACTCACCGAACATCTGAATGTGCCCTTTGGTGATGGGATTGAAGCTGCCGCAGGCAAGCAAGATAACGTGGGTCTTGGTGGTCTCGGTCATGGTGTGGGTGGGTCCCTCGCCCTGGTCCAGGAGTCGCCCCTCTTTTTGTGTCTCGATATGTCTGCAGAGGGAGAAAGGAAGGCGAGGCTCCGGCGGTGGATGCTGTGGACTCCAAGGAGCCGCTCTAGACGCAAACCGCGTCACTCCCCGCCTCTCCTTAACGCTTGCAGCTCCGGCAAGATCCGAGGCTGCTTTTGTATTGCTCTGCTGGATCCCTTTCTTTCCTTTCTAGCTTCTTTCGCCTCTCTCGTCCTGGTCTCCCACCCCTCCCTTTCTCTCGCCTCCACCCCACTTCATTCCATCACGCTCTTTTCTTAGTGTTTATCTACGAGGCAAGACGTGGTACCCAAGCCCAGAACCATGAATACTTGACAGCACGGTGTGAGCTCTCTCTCTTACCTCCTTCTGATTTAGTTTTCCTCCTTCACTCTTAACATTCTTCTGTCCACATCTACTTTCTCTAACATTTCCGATGCTGAAAGTGTTTGATCTTAAGAATTGTTTTCTTTCTCTCTTCCTCAAATCTTTAAGTGAAAAATGACGATTGTTCATTTCGGGAGTATTACTTCCTGCCTTTCTTTTCCCCCTTATCTGATGATTTTGAACTATTGAACTAAGCCAGACCTTGACCTAGTGGTTGTCAGGAAATAGGGGGAGCCTGAATCTTTCCCCTGGTGTATTGGTCCTTTTTGTGGGTTGAAGCAATGCTATCAGATTGAGAGAGCATGGATGGGGCAGAATTTCTAAAGCTGTGTTAGAAAACTATTGTGATCTTACATAAGCTATCAAAGTTGAGACAGATTTATCCATTCAACAAGTATTTCTTGGGGCTGGCCCCGTGGCTTAGTGGTTGAGTGCGCGCGCTCCGCTGCTGGCGGCCTGGGTTTGGATCCCGGGCGTGCACCCACCGACGCACCGCTTCTCCGGCCATGCTGGGGCCGCATCCCACACACAGCAACTAGAAGGATGTGCAGCTATGACATACAACTATCTACTGTGGCTTTGGGGGGAAAAAATAAATAAATAAAATCTTAAAAAAAAAAAACCAAGTATTTCTTGAGTGCTCACTATGTGTTGGGCTCTGTTATAAACCCTGCTGATAAAGCAAAGTCCCTGTCTTCATCGAGTTTACAATCTACTGGAGGGAGATAGACAATAAACAAACAGAGAAGGAAAATATTAGATAGGAGTTGTGCAATGCACAATAACTGAATGCAATTCACTCTCTGACAGAACAAAGGGTGAGTGGAGGAGAGGGGATTCTTTTAAATGAGTAGTTAGGGAAGGCCTCTCTGGGGAAATTTAAGCTGAGACTTTAATGACAAGGAGTTGCTAGTACAAATATTTTGGAACAGGGAAGGGCTTAATGTGCTCACAGAAATGAAAGAAGGGCAGCATGACTAGAATACATGAATAAGGGGAAACATGCTAGGAGAGAAGATTGGACTGGTGATCAGGACTCAGTCAAGTAGGACTTGTAGGCTAGGGCAGGGTTTGGGTGTTTTTCTAAGTGGAATGATGGAGAGGAAAAACAAAAGGGAACATTGAAAACATGGAAGTGTTTAATCAGGGGAATGATAAGTAGTATACATTTTCATAAGATCACTCTGGCTGCTAGGTAGAAAACAGGAAGGCAAGGAACACATTTAGGAAATTCTGCTTCTAGCCTTGGAAGTGGAGTTGTCCTAGAACTAGGATTTATAGAGGTGAAGTTGATGAGAAGCATATGGTCTCTGGATAAGTTTTGTAGATACAGTTTACAGTCTTTGTAGATGGATTGGATGTGGAAGATGAGGAAAAGAGAAATCTAGGAAAATGTCTAGAAAACGTCTGAAGCAAATGAATGGACTGAGATTCAGAAAGATGGAGAAAGTCTGAGGGATGACCAAGTGTTCTATTCTGATATTAGATAGACCTAATAATTCTTCTTTTTTTTAAATTGAGATATAATTGACATATAACATTGTATTAATTTTAGGTGTATATAATAATTCTGAACTTAGAGATCCACAAGTAAGAAATTTACCTTTCCTGGCCTTCAAGATTCTTGGATAAATTACTACCTTACATTATTGGGCTGGCCATTATTTCTTATCCAAAGCATGTAGTAGATGTGCAGTAAATATTTGTTAAATTATGCTGAATAGCAAATCAACCCTAATATGTATATACTTTCTAGTTTAAATACAAGAGTCCTCAGAATCGATGTATATCTGTAATGGGGTTAGTAGCTTCCCTGACTTGGGATGCAGATTAGTGGGGCATAAAGAGCAAGAGATGTTGAAGGGAGACTGATCTGGGTATGAAACTCTGATATTTACTAGCTGGGCAATTAACGTAATTATAGTTAAGCAATAAATATTTATTGAGTGTCTGCCGTGTGCCAGGCACTTGATTTAGGGGCTGCAAACAAAAAAAGTCCCTGCTTTAATAGAACTCACATTCTAGAGGAGGACAACAGGCCATAAGAAAAGGAATAAACATAATGGTAATAGGTACCATAATGAAAAATAAAGCAGGGTAAGAAGAAAAGGAAAGGGAAATCCTCTTTTATTTAAGGTGGTCAGGGATGGCCTCTCTGATAAGATGGTATTTGAGCAGGGACCCGAAGGAAGTGAACGAATGAGTCATTTGAATATCTGGGGAAGAATATATCTGGCAGATGGCAGGTGCAAAGAGTCTGACAACCAGGAGTGCTTGGGCGTGTTCAACAAGCACACCTGTATGGCAGGAGAAAAGAAAGACAGTGGGAAGTAGTAGGAGACAGATCAGAAAAGTAGGACAGGTCATATAGGGCCTTGTAGGCCCTGCTTAGGGCTTTGGCTTTTTCACTGAGAGAGATGGGAAATCACTGGAGGGTTTTGAATGGAGAAGTGACATGAGCTGACTTATACTTGAAAAGTATCAGTTTGCAGGAGATACAAATTTTGGAGTCATCAGTATAGTTTTATATTTAAAACCATGGGATTAAATGAGGTCACCTAGTGAGTAACAGATATATAAAGAAGAAAAGAGGCCCTCAGATTCAGCCCTGGGACACAACAAATTAACCATAGTAGCTAACATCCACTGAGTATCACTAGAAGCCGGGGCACTATAAGCCATTTACAGTTAATTCATTTAATACTCACAGTAACTAGGAGTTCATATCATTTTATTCCACTTTAGTGATGAGCATAAAGGAGCAGAGAGAAAGGAAATAAGTGGTCCAAGTTCAGCCAGCTAGTATGTATGGAGCCAGATTCAAACCCTAGTAGTTTTGATGGAAGGCCCTGCTCTTGATCCAAGGCTACTATCTCATCTTATTTCACTGCTGGGCTATACTAACCCCATTCGAAAAGATGAGGATAACTATACCCACCACGCCACAGAGATGTGAAGGTTATCAGTAACATACATAGAACACCTTGCATGCAGTAGATGATCAATTAGTGATACCTCTTTTTTAAATGAGAGAATGGGACTTCTTACAGAGGTTTGAAGAACAGACTGAGAATTGCCTTACCAAGTCTTCAGGTTTTCTCTTCTTTATCCAGGAAAAATGGAAGAGTTTGCAACAAAATTCTATGTAACTTGCTGGAATGACTGGACATTCACTCAACTCTACAAGTTAATTTTAATAAAAAGACAGAAAAAAATGTCCAACTCAAAATTCCCACACAGAATAGTGGTCAGTAAATATTTATTGATGAATTAAGTACAAAAATCTTTTTACCAGCCCAGTGCCCACAGAATAACAATGAAATGTGAATTTGTAATACAATGTAATAAATATGTTTTTAGTCTTGTAAGTTATGTCTTAAGTAAGAGTACAAATTCTATAGATTAGACTAATTGGTTGTGATTCTAATTGTCTCCTGTAATTTTCTTTATGCTTATCTCTAATTTGTGTGTCCCCAAAGAGGACCCTGAAATTGGAATATAAAAACATGGAGAGTAAGTCCTGGTTCTGCCACTTGCTAATTGTTTGAATTTGGGCAAGTCATTTATTGCTAAGACTTCATTTTGTCAGCTGGAGATACTATAATACGTGCCCTGTATTCTTTACAGGGGTGCTATATGGATCAAATAAGACCATGTGTGAGTAAATGACTTTTTTTAAGAATATTATCAGCTTTAGGCCAAATTCCACAGTTGTTACATATAAGACAGCTATTGTTTTTAAATGTTTAGTTGTTTCTATTGATGGCTTTGTCAAGGATGTTTCTGGAAGTTCCAATCTTAGAGGGTAATGGCTTTGGAAATGTGTCAATAGTGTATATATCAAGCAGTAAAAACAAATAACCAAAAACATACTAACAACAATTTTATTTTCAGTGAAGAATCCAGGGCTGGTTCATAAAATACAGAAATAGGAATGTCAACTCTTGCATAATACATGTACCTTAACATATATAGAGATCTATTCTCAAGGGTGCTAACTTTAACTTAGGTAATATAATTTGGTCTAATATTTCAGCTTTCCAACAGCTGGGTTATTGCTCTAGGCTGAGAAGGAACCAGAGTCATTCTCCCACAGCCTAAATCTTGCAATCTGCTCCAGCCGGTTCAGTTTCCAAATGGCTCAAGGGAGACAGTCCAACCCAGAACTTTCCCTGCTGTAAATATCTGGTCTGATGGGCAGGCTTAAGGGTCTTCTGGGTCTGATTTGAAATGTGCCTATGTAAAGTCTAGCAGAGTGGGTATGTATGCTCACTTATCTCTCTGTTTACCTAGTCCAGATTAATCATCCATTTGCATCACAGATCAGGATGAAACCATTCCACGTTATAAAGCTGAGTTCCAAAATAATGTTAGGGATCACCCTTTTCAGGAAAAGCAAAAAGGCATACACGTAGATGTGGGTCCCTCAGTTCCCAGGATCAAGTCAGATATTGAATATTTATTTCATGTTTTCCTGGTAAAAATATTTTTCTGATAAACATGACTCTTTGGAATTCTCTACAGTTCTCCACATTGGTATGGTTCTCTCTCCTTTGCTTTCTCCACTTCTCAAGATAAACATCTTGGGGGATACAGCTAAAATGATTGGCATTACTCTCCCTGTCTTCCCCACAAGCAAATATTTTTACATCTGTGGAATGAAAAATGTCCCTGGATCAAGATCCTCCTTCCTCCAGCTCTAAATCTCCCAAATCTCACTCAGACTTATACTTTCTCTAATTATTCAAATCATATTTCACAAATGAAAGATGTTTCCAAATTTCAAAGCTGGTTATC